TTTGAATACTTTTATAACCAATGTGAAACTGGGGACGACAAGTTCTTTGATCCATTTACTTTCCTTAGGCGCATGCCATCATGTATAGTCCCCTCTCTGGGAGTTTCCACCAAAAAACATACTAGAGAATGGAAGAACATTTGGGCAAGTTTTCTACTTACTCGGGACCTTCATTATAGCACAACCAATCCTAATCTAAGGAATAGCTTTTGTGGTGTCGAATTTTACAATCCGGCTCAACTAGCTAGGCAAATGGGATTCACCCAACTCATTCCCTTACCGCCATATAAATATCAGAATAAGTACTTCGATCAAAAAGTAAGGATCACAGATGTTGCCAAATTTACTGCGATTGATAAAGCTTATGAAGTGGAACGGTTGGCTTTTAACTTTCAAGGCCATCCTAGCAAACCTCAGTCTTCTAATGGGTTTACTATATGGTGGACGGCCTACATTTATTCCACTCGATCAAATAACCATAAGGCTGTTTATGACACTATTCTAGCTTCCTTCAAACCCTTGTCTTCATGTATAAATATGCTTCATTCAAAACTTTCTCTTTCCTTTTATATTGCTGTCAACTTTCCACATTCTAAAATTTGAAATGTTGAATTCCAGATGGAGAAGAAGAAATTCCTGAGGAAAGTGATGACGATGAGAGTGGAGAAAAAACTGTTGTTTACCCAGCAAGGTTGAGGTTATGGCCGAAAATGGTGATGTGAGTCATGAAAGTATTTTCTCTAGTGATAATGAAGAAGAACAAGTTGAAGAGGAAGAAGAATAAGAAGAGGATGCTTTGTACAAGGCAAAAGGAAAAGAAAAGATCTCTCAGGTATTTCTAAAATAGACTTAACTTTTCCAATTTCTGGATTCTCTAATATCTTCTTTTATAGGGACTGGCTATTGTGAAGAAAGAATTTCAACCCCAACTTTCTTCCTCAGACGAAGACTCTTCTGATGATGATGACATTTCCAAAAGACAAACTCATACTCAGTATTCCAACAAAAAACTCACCAAACGGAGTCCCTCTGGAAAAGTTACCGGAAAGGCAAAAAGGAAAATTGATTTGGAAAAAACCGAGGAGTTCAAACAGCCAAGAGACTCTCCAAAAATAAAAAAGTTAAAACCAACCAATGAGATTGTTTTGGTAAGTCTCATTTGCTATCTCCTTCACCCTTTTAATCTCTTGAAATATACATAATTCCCCTTTATACTTGATCAACCGGGCTCTACCAACATTCAGCTAGATGCACAAGTTGCCCAAGGAGAGGACTTAGACCTTCAAGCCTCTATTATGGAATGTCTGTCCGTTCAAAGTGTGAAAAAACTGCCTATTCCAATCCTTACTATTGGAACCTCTACTGCTGGTACTGGTGGAACTTCTATAGGCCCTCATCCTTCCATCCCAGAGGCAAGTCTTCACCTTCTTTCTTTTTCTCTAATAAACAAAGCTTTTCTTTCCTTCAGGCCACCTCTTCTTTGTCTACATAAACATCTTTCACAATGCATAGAGGAGCTCTTCCAACGCTGGCCGATCTATACAAGGTGATCAAGGCCACTCAATCTTCAAGCATTTTAACCTCAAGTGCCAATGTACTCATGCTTCCAAACCCCTCAGAGGATCCTATCATAGTAGCTAAAGGTAAAATTGTTATCTTATCTTGCTTGTGATGTGGAAAAAGTTGTAACTTTCCATCAAAATTTTGCCAGAATTATAGTCATCCTGAAGAAACACCCTGGATCTCCTGATTACATTCAAACTGCCTTAACTAAATTATAGCATCAGCTTCAATTCCTTGTTTCCTATATAAATTTCAGTTTTTCCTCTCTCTTGGAATATAAAAGAAAGGCTAAACTTAAGGACAAAGCCTTTGAAAGTTTTCATCTTGCTTTAGCACCCTACCCAGAGATCAAGGCACTGGTTGAGGAACTTGCAGCTAAGAAAAATACTTTGACTGAGGAGCTAAACAAAATTTAAAAGGAGTTAGAACAAGTGGAACGTAATAAGTTTGAACTATACCAGACTACTAGTGCCATTCTTATTGAATCTGAGCCTCACAGGAAAGAATGGGAAAGTCTGGTAAATGAATTTCCTTAACTTGAAGAAACAAGAATCAAGGCGCTGGCTACCCTTGAAGAAGCAAGGAAACTTTGGATGGAACTTGGAGGTGTTTTTGCTTCCATTTAGTGTGGTTCTCTTATGATACTTCTATGGTTATTAGTAAAAATAAATAAATTACTTTGAAATCTTTGTCATGGCCAGCTTTTGAAGGTTAACAGCCATTTTTGGAATATGTCATGAAATCAAAGTATCAAATGGAAATGATGTTCATCTCTCAATTATTTTGTATGTGCCTCTTGTATGTGAAATTTCTAAGTCCTTGAAACTGGAAAATCCCTTCACATATATTAATAAAAGGCATAGCCATAACATGACTTTCCATAATAAAGGAATTTTAGAAGAACAAAAGAACTTACTAGCATAGAAAGAACATGTATATACAAGCACGATAAGTAGTTCCAAGTATGAATAAAACCTGGATAATGTAGTGTAGCCTCTTTCTCACTAAAATATTCCATACTTAGAAAATCATCTGATCTTGGAAATATAGTTAAGTCTCCCTCATGTCTCTAGCCGATATACATTTTCAAGCATTTAGCTTTTCTTCTTTTAGATGACTCCTTCATACTTAACAATCAAAAAATGGCCAAAATATGGCCATTATCCTTCCTTTCCAAATTTCTAGAACTTGGAAAGGAAGCTACTAGCCAAACTACGTGGCTGATGGAATGATTGTGGATTTTCAGTTTTCATAGATGGAAGGATGATGCTCTTTCAAGTATACCCCATTCATAGGATGTTTGTGGGATCCTCAATCTATGTCCATTAATCTATAAGCCCATTTCCCAAGGACTCGTTCCGCCAAGTAAGATCCTTCCAATTAGGGGTCCACTTTCCATATTCTTTGTCTTTGACACTTGGTGGAAATCTGACTTGCCATACCAGGTCTCCTTTAACAAATGTCTTTGCCTTAACCTTCTTGTTGTATGCCCGGATGACTTTCCTCTTTTGAGCAATAATATGGTCTAAGGCATTAAGACGAACTTCATCAAGGTCTTCCCATTTTACCAACATGGCATAGTCGTAATCTACTAGAGTAAGCTTGTTTTGGAAAGCCACCCTTGCAGACCTTATGGTCATTTCCATTGGAAGAACGGCATCATGTCCATATGTAAACATATATGGTGTGACGCCAGTGCTTGATCTTTTTAAATTTTTATAAGCCCAAAGAGCCTCAGAAAGTAGGTGATGCCATTCTCTTAGATGATTCTCAATCATCGTTTCAAGGATGTTGAGAATTACCTTGTTGGAAGCTTCAGCCTGTCCATTTGATTGGGCAAAATATGGAATGAAACTGATCACTTGGACACCACACACAACACAATAATCAAGAACTTTGTTTCCAACAAAGGAAAGTCCTCTGTCAGTGGTGATAGTTTCTGGAATTCTAAACCTATGAATAATGTGCTTCTTGACAAAATCAATCACTGTTAGCTGCTCACAGGTCTTTAATGGAATAGCCGCCACCTATTTTGTGAAGTAATTTGTTGCTACCACAATATGAGTATGGCCATTTGCAGATGGTGGTGTTAACTTTCTAATAAAGTCCAAAGCCCACCCTTTAAATGGCCATATTTTTACTACCGGCTGCATGTTGATAGCTGGAACTCTTTGGACCGGGCTATGTTCCTGACATGCAGTACAAGTATTTGTAGACTCTATGCAATCTTTTAATATGCCTTTCAAAAAATAATTGTACCTTCTCAAAAGCCACCTCATTTTGATTCCAGCTTGATGTGCTCCGCATATTCCAAGGTGTGATTCTGCCAGCACTCTTATGGACTCATTCCTGCCAAGACATCTTAGCAAAAGTCCATCTTCTTTACTCTTTCTTTAGAGATATCCATCAATCAAAATATAATAAGGTGCCAAAAGCTGAATTCTTTTGTCTACATTGGCACTAGGCTCCTGCAAGAAATGGATAATTGGTGTTCTCCAATCTTCCAAGTCTAATCCATCTATGTCAACATTGAAAATCTTCTATTTCTTCTTAGCAGGTTTGATTCTTTCTATCTCATCAGCTTGGAAATGACTTGCCATCTCATACAGTGACTCTACAGAATGGAGAGTCCTTCTTTTGATTGTGATCAAGGTTTCTTCTACACCCAGTGGGACTTTTACTTGAGAGACTAGTTTTCTTAGATCATTAGCCTCCGTGTTCAAATGTCTTGGCTAATATTTGAGTTGGAAATCATCAAACTGGTAAAGTAATTCAAAGGCCAAAGAGTGGAAAGGCCTTAAATGCCAGTTAAGACATCTATATTCTTTAAAAAGTTGGCTAAGTATCAAGTTGAAATCTCCAATAATCTGGACCCTATCCACCTTTAACTCTAGTAGGATTTCTAGCCCAATAATTAACACCTCATATTCAGTTTGGTTATTTATACACTTGAAATCCAAGAAGAAAGAAAATGTGGTTTTTCTTCCCTTTGGTGAAATAATGACTATTCCAGCTCCTCCTCCATCATGAGTGCTTGATCCATCAGACATGAGAGTCCAAGGTGTATAGTCAAGGTAGAGATTATCCACCTCGTCACATACTTCTGAATTAATCTTAGTGGAAGGATGATCTGCTAGAAATTCTGTCACTGCCCTTCCTTTGACTGCCTTTTGTGGAATATATTTGAAAGAAAACTCCATTAAGGCCAATGATCATTTTCCAATACGTCCAGTGATCAAAGGCCTCAAAAGCATATACTTAACCAAATCTGTTTGAGAAATGATATACATAGCCACTAGCAACATGTAGGTTCTCAACTTCATAGCCGCATAATACATGGAAAGACACAACTTTTCAATGGAAGTATACCTACATTCCACTGGAATGAGCACCCTACTTAGATAATAAATGGCTTACTTTTTCCCCCATTCATTGTTCTAAGCTAGAAAAGTTCCAATGGATTCATCGGCGGCTGATAAGTATAATATTAAAGGCCGCTTCTTGATTGGAGGCATCATCACTAGAGGGTTGGCCAGGTTGCCTTTCAAACCTTCAAAGGCTTGCTGGTGCTGTTCTGTCCATTTGAATTCTTTAGCGCCTTTCAATTTCAGCAATGGGGAAAATGTATGAGTCTTTTCAGCATGGTTGGCAATGAATCTCCTCAAATATCCAACCTGGCCAAGAAATCTTTGTAATTCTTTCTTAGTGGCCGGTGACTTTGCTTTAATAATTGCCTTTGCTTTTTTTTTGTCCATCTCAATACCTCTTTGGTGGACCAAAAAACCCAGGAAGTTTCCAGCTAAAACCCCAAAGGCATACTTCAAGGGGTTCATCTTCAACTTGTGCTACCTCATACTTTCAAAAGCCATCTTCAAGTTATGGAGATGTTAAACCTTGGCCGATGATTTAATGACTACATCATCAATGTAAACTTCCAAGAAATGGCTGATCATGTCATGAAAAATGACTTTCATGGCCCTTTGATATGTTGCTCCAGCATTCTTCAACCCAAACGGCATGACAACCCATTCAAAGGTTCCAATAGACCCTGAACATCTGAAAGCCGTCTTGGCAATGTCCTCTTCTGCAATACAAATCTGGTTGTACTCGGAATGTCCATCCATGAATGAAAGAATTTCATTCTTAGCAGTAGAATCTACCAACTGGTCAGCAACAGGCATGGGATATTCATCTTTTGGAGTTACAATATTGATATTTCAGAAATCCACACATACCTTTAGCTTGCCATTTTTCTTAATAATTAGAACTATGTTGGAAATCCAGTCAACATACCTTATGGTTTTTATAAAACCAACCTTATATAGCCTTTCTATCTCTTATTTGACCTTTAGAACAACTTCTTGGGACATCCTTCTTAGAGGGTGCTTGAAAGGCTTGAAACCTTCCTTGATTGGCAGCTTATGCTCTACCAGCTCTCTGGAAAGTCCTGGCATTTACTCATATGTCTATGCAAAACAATCTTTATATTATTCAAGTAAGGAAATCAATTTTTCTCTAAAGGTTGGTTCCAAAAGCTTACTGATGTAGGTAGGCCAAGGGTCTTGTTATATTCCAAGATTGACTTCTAAAAGTGGATCTTGTACTTCGGCCTTGAGATCGTCTAACTTCATTGGTGCTGCCTTCAAGTCTATCAGCTGGATAGCATCCGACTTATCTTTAGTATCTTCTATAGCTGCAGTCCTTTCCAGCCATAGTTTGGCTAGATATGCTTTTAACCTGGCAAGGCAACAGTTAATCGCCTGGCCAAGTATTATATCTTCTTTAGGTTTCTCTTCCATAAAAACTTTTATTTGAAATGTAGTGCTTAACACTGGCCATGGGTAGAATTGCTGGCCTTGGTGTTTCTTGAAAAAGCTCTTTTACATCCTCTTTTGTGATAGTTCTCCTTATGGTGGCCTTCCTTGGACGGCCCTTGCTATCATTTCCAATAAATCTGATTGGAACGAATTCTTCACTATATAACTCAGCATTTGCATGGTAGACCCTTGCCACAAATGGCCGGCTATCAGCTTCCACCACTTTTACCTCATCTTCATCCCAAAATATAAGCATTTGATGGAGTGAGGATGGAATGCAAAAGTTTGGGTGAATCCATTCGCTAACCAAAAGCAAGTTATAAGCCACTGTAGACTCAATAACAAAGAAGGCTGTTATAGAAGTTCTATCTCCCACCATTAATTCCAACGGTAGAATGCCTTGTGTCTTCATTATTCCTCCCGTGAACCCACTAATAGATACATCAGTTGGAATGATGTCTTCAGGCGACTTTCCAAGTATGTGCGTGACATTGACTGGAACAACATTCAATACTAAACCATTTTCCACCAGAACTCTTGCTAGGGGCCTCCTTTCTACCAGTACCTTGATATATAAAGGTTTGAACTGCTGAGTCATGCCATATGGTGGCATTTCCAACATAATTTTCTTTAGTTTTGTGGGGCTATTTTCTTCAATCACAACTCTCTTTAATTTCTGCAGATGATTAGTGTTGCCCAAGTAATGACTCTAGAGGGGGGGTGAATAGAGTCTTAGCAAACAATGGTCAATTTTTGATCTTAATTGATGTGAAATTGCAAGGCTAATCTTTCTATAATAATTTAACAAAGCAATTTGAAATTTAAGTTACAACTACTAGCAATTTTCAAAAAAAATAAACTAATTGAACTTGAAGCAATAAATATAAGAAATAAGGAGAGAGATTGCAAACAAGTACTCAACGATTTTTGCGAGGTTCAGAAACTCCTACTCCTCGACTCAAGACCCCTCTTGAGACTTCCTAATCCACTATGGTTTCTCCTTACGGGTGGAGAGCAAACCTTTTACAAGAAGCGCTTCTTTTCTTCTAATTGCTAAGAGAAACACCTTCTCTTAGTCTTCCATGGGCCACACTAGCCCTTACAAGATTTGAAGAGAATATATGAGGTACAAGATGATCTCTCTCAGATCTGAAGTACAAGTTTCAGCTCACTCTAAAGTATGTATGAATAAATTGAAGCTCTTTACTCTTTGAAGATATGAAGTATGTGTATGATGATAAAAAGGTTCTAAGATTGCAAGGATATGTTTCTCAATGAATGCAATACCTTTTTATGAAGACCACAAGTCATTATATAGAGTTTCAGATGAGTCTGATATGTATTCTAGCTGTTGGACACACACTTTGAGGAAAAATGGCAGTTCAAAATTTGAATTCTCGCGGGTTCGGTCGTCCGAAATAAAACACTATTGAGGTTCGGTCGACCGAAACTGTTTGAGGTTGGCCATCATACTTATTTCGGTAAACCGAAGGATTCTTTCTTTTATTTTGGTAAACTGAAACTCCTTCCTCCTTTGTTCTAAAACATTCTGTGAGAATCGGCTCATCAGATTCATTTGTCCTTTTTATTTCGCTCGTCTGAAACTTCTAGAATAACTTTTCACTTACTTAGTTCGGTAGACCGAAATGAGTTGGTACTGTATTTCGGTAGACCGAAATACCTTAGAAGCAATGATTCAAACTCTTTGATAGAACCGGTCGACTATTTCAAGATATCCTTCCATTTCGGTCGACCGAAATGGAACATAAATCTTAGGAACATGTTTTGATGATGTTTAAACATAGTCCAATGTTCCTTAAACTTAATGAATGAGTAACTATGAATGATTTTGAGAGTGAGAGCTTCAAGATGTTCATATATACTTTAACAAAGTTTCCTAAAAAGCTCACCATCCTAGCTAATCCCATTTGATTAGATCTTGAAGACTTTTCTTTGAATCTTGATTCACTTTTGTCTTTTTGTCGTATCTTCATGATGCTCCTTCATTTAAGGTTTTATATGTAATGTCTTGTCTTGATGAAGGCTTTGATCAGTAATTTAGCTCAAGGTAGACATTGGTACGTAAAAAACATCATTAATAAATTATGATCATCAAAAGCCTTGGATTCAAGGTCAACAATCTCCCCTTTTTTGATGATGACAATTCATTGATGTGTTCGATAAATAAGAATAAGGAATATGAACAGTTCTCCCCCTATCAATGTGAATAGGTTTGAAAATAAGGTCATACATATAAGAGATTATAAATTTCCCCATTTCCTTGCATCTCCTTTTAACTTTATAAGTAAAATCATATTCAAGGCAAGACAATGTATTCAATATCATTCATTTCATAAATACCAAAAATATATATTTCATTTGATTAATGAATTCCAGGTACAGTCAAAAGATAGCATGGTATGATCACATCTACTTCATTTCACTACCCTATTCACAACTACAACAATTAACATAATTAGCAGCCTACATTCTCTATGCTCATTCACAGCCAACATCAACATCATTCTCCCCCTTTTTCATGCATAAAAAAGGTAGGGGGGAAGCATCAGAAATGAGGGAGTCCCATGACTCGAAGGTCAGCAAGGTCGTGTTTCACAAGATCGACTTCATTGGCTAGTTCTTCAAGTTGTTCACGCAACGCGAGAATGTGTTCACTTTTGTCTTTACCAACGGCAATTTGCTCTTTAGAAAGAACAATATTTTCTAGAAGTAGCTCACGAAGGGATCTTTCTTTAGATGGAGGGACATTAGTGGCTTCTTCTTCTTCTTCCTCTTCTTCTTCTTCTTCTTCTTTACCACCTACTACAGTATCTTCTTGTTGTTGCTCTCCCATTATAATTTCTTGGCCCACATTTGCCGGATCACCAAATTTGGGGTCATACCAAATGTTATTTTCTGATTTTTTGAGCCCCATTCGACCGAGAAACTTTTTGTCAAATCTATAGAGATTGGTAAGCTCCTTTTTATCCTCCCCCTCTATTCGTACTTTGTAGGCTCTGAAGATTATCGTAAGAGGCATGGCATAGAATAGGTGAGTTTTTTCTTTCTTGGCGCAGTCTTGCATGTGGTGATAGATGATGAAAGCAAGGTCAAACTTCTTTCCGTTCAGGATGCACTAGATTGGAAAGGCTTCCATAAATGACACATCCGAGCGACCGCCGGATTTGGGAAGGATGGTATGGATGATGACATGATAAATGAGACGAGCTTGTACTGTTAACTGACTCACAAATATTTTTTCAATGTTTTTAGTGGGAAAGTGGCTGATTTGTTAAACAACTTGGAAAGGATCAAACTCTTCCCCATGATACCAGTTATAGGCAGTATAGTAGGTGATATCGTCGTGAGGAATTTTGAGAATGCGGCGAATACTGGACAAGGTAAGGTGAATGTGAGTGCCTACAACGAAGGAATCATAAGTGTTTTGCCCTAGCTCTTTCTCAAGATGAGTGTAAAATAGCCTCACTAGCTTGGGGGATACAATCCACCCAAGCCAATAGCATCAAATAGTGAGAAGGTGTGTTGAATCAACTCTTCACTTTCACTACTATCAAAGAATTTTTCCTTTTTAACTATCTTATGAAGGAATCTGGTTTCATAGATTTCCTTGAACTCGGGTTCTCGGAAAAGACGCATATTTGAGGCAGGGTAGAAGTCAGGATTTTCAGGGTTTAGTGGGTTAGATCCTCTGGCATCCATATCATGAGAGCTTTTATGATGTTTTTCTAAGTCTCTATCAATCCTAAAAGGGTTCTTTCGAGAAGCCATAGGTTCTTTTTAGAAAGATTTTGTGAGAGTGATGACAAGGTTTTATGCAGCAAAATCTAAACTAGGATGGTATCAGACCATAGAATGCTATAACAGAGATCAATAATCAAGGAAATGAGTCTGACATGGAATTGATTGATTCTTAAGAGAGAGGAGTGGAACTTACCTCAGATGCGAAGAGAAGAGAGATGGAGTGGTTAGCAGTCACCTCTTGAGATTGAGAGAGA